TTGGTCTTGGAAACAAAAACCTGATGCGATTGTCACTTCATGATAATCGTTCTTTCACCAAGTTCAATTTAAAAAAAACAATTTAGCTTACTTTTATGTAAAACGTAATTAATAGCCATTGACATCTACGAATTGGCAAGTAGAATTTGAATTCAAGATTGACGGTGTTAATCCTAACCTCTATGGTGACGGAATGGCCGTATGGTTTACCACAGACCGCGCAAAGCCTGGTCCTGTCTTTGGATTCATCGATAAATTTGAGGGTTTAGGCATATTCTTTGATACATATGCAAACTCTAGGCACTCTGTGCGTATTAACGTGGAATCTCCGTTGATCACCTCTTTTCACATTATTATTGCTAACTGTTCCATATTCAATTAGCATACCTTTCCTTATGTAATGGCCATGATGGGTGACGGAAACACCGAATATGATCATGCTAATGATGGTAAAGCAAACCATATTGCTGGATGCGAAGTAAGGATCGAGTTGCATTACTGTTGACAATCATAATCATAATTCGACGTTTAACACGTTTTTCTTTGTAGGCCGACATACGTGGTAAATCGGTTGCCACAAAAGCACGTATCACGTATTTCAAGAATACCTACCTCGAGGTGATGTTTATTCTTGTGTTCTTGTATGTTTTTCATATTAATAATTTCTCGATCGCTCGTTTAATGTTCATTTGTTCTCTGTGTTTTAGGTCAAATTACAATACAAGGCATTGGATCAATGGGAACCATGTTTTACTATCCCTAATGTTACGATCCCAGCGGTCGCCTACCTTGGTTTCAGCGCATTGACCGGTGATGTTAGCGGTACATATAACGATGATTATTGAATTCATTTCCTTTCCTTTCCTTTCCTTTAACTCATCCTTTTGCTTTTATGCCAATACATAACATAACATTGCATCTCACAATAATAGATGCCCATGATATCATCAGTGTCACAACCAATAATATCATCGCCCTTCAACCACGAGTTCACAAGGTATTGTTCTCGACATTGACTATATCTTGCCTATCATTGATGTAGCACACAGGAAATAACAACTAACTTCCTCAAATTTAGCCAATCACACGACAACAAGAATTATCGGTTTCTAATTGGTCTGGATTTATGTTTATTCTCAAGATTATTGCTACAACCGCATTTATTGCTGTTTTAGTCTTGGTATACAGGATGTACAAAAGTCAGTCGAACAAAAGGTTTTAACGTTTAAATTCGTGGACCATAATCTTTGTTAGAATGTAAATTTTCGGTTCGAAACTATTACCAAAAAAATTGTAGACGACCAAATTATTATAATTACTTGTTTTTTTTTTTTTTTTTAAAGCGAAAATTCTAGTTAACCATAAAAGGTTGAGAATCTCAATTTATTTAATAAATCAAAAATCAATGTTTTTTTTTTTCCTGAAAATTGCCATTGTAATTAACGACGGAACCTATTGTAAAATTTAAAGTATTTATATTCAACAAGAAAAAAAATACATTCAAGTTTTTTCTAATAACTTTAACACATTGAATTTACAAAATCAAAACTTAATGGAATTCCACAACAAAACAGCTTTCTTCAAATTTGCCTCTGAACATGATTTTCAAATATTCGCAACCAGACTAAGGTCTGGTAGCTGTAGTAATCATTTCATATCATAGTCAATTTCTAAATTTTCCTTGAGCTTCTTTACAAGTTACTTTATTGAAATATTATCTCCTTTTCCAATAATAACCATTGAATAAATTATTTTCAAAACAAGATTTTTGTATTTTTCTTTATCCATTTATAACAAGATATAAATTAAATAAGTTTAACCTTATGTTAAACCTTATTCATTAACATATTTCCAAACAATAATTAATATATTATAACCAATTTTCTACTATTTCTTGTATATGTTCAGAAATTATAATATTAAATATGATTTTTTTAATATGAATATACAGTATATTAATTAAAAATTCATTGATTTAACAAATATAATATAACTATATTAATTTTTTTATTTAATTTTTACTTATCAAATAAAAATTTAAATCTTTTGTAAAATTTTAATAATGAATAATATTTATTTTTTTAATATTTTTCTTATTGATAAAATTTGTTTTGACATTTTATAAAATTTAATATTTCTTTTTTTTTTTATTTAAAAAAATATTATTATTAATTAATTTTTATTAATTAAAATAACTTTTAAACATTGTTGTAAATTATTCAAATAATTTAATTAATTTTCACAACCTTTTTTTAAAAATATATTTTTGTTATACAGTATATTTTTATATAAAATTTTTTGATGGTTTTTTTGTATATACAGTATTATACTTATTTAAAATATTTAAATAATAACCTATATTTTAATATTATGCTATTATAATAAAAATTTAATATTGTTAACAAATAAATAAAATTTAATAAATTTATATATATAAATAAAATCTTTCTTATTAATTCTTTTATTAATTCAAAAAACAAATATATATTTCTTTTACTTATTTATTTTTTAAATTTTTTGTTATATCAAAATTTTAATTAATAATTGATTAGGATTTTAAATTGACTAATTAATATATATTAGAAAGATAAACAAGATATATATTTTTTATATATCTTTTGTCATATAATATAACAATAATAATATAATTAGAAAAAGCAAAAAAGTGTAGTGAAATAGTATTCTTTTAAATAAAAATAATTTGATAATTTTTACTTTTTCTTTTGTTTTGGGGTTTTTTTTTTAAAATTTAAAAAGTTAAAATTTAATTTAATAAGAAGATTTTATTATTATTTATTATTTTAAAAAAGTATTAAGCCAAAGTAAAACTTATTTTAAACAATAATTTCCAATAAATATAAGACTTGTTCAAATATTTATAAGTCTTGTTAAAAGTATTTTAAATGTTTTTGATTAGTAATAGAATAGTAAAAATTAAATAATTTGTCTAGTTGTAGGTAATAATAAAAGATATATTTTAACAGACTAATTGATATTGAAAGATTTTTATTTATCAAGACAAATTCTTCAAATATTTTTTTTTTTGCTTCTTTTTCTTAAAATATAAATTTTTTTTATTTCTTAGAACTATAGATTTATATAAAAGGGATAATCTGAATATAGGCTGATTATGATTTTTTTTAGAATTAAAAAATGTTTTTGAAAAAGAAGTAACTTTATTATTCTTTACAATTATACTTAGAAAGTTAAGATTTGAAAAGTTTAAGATAATTAATATTATATATGTTTCTTTATTATTATAAAGGAAATTTGATCAACAATATAATTTCAAATTAAATATGATTTTCAATTACTTATTAATTGTTATTTAGTAATATAAACATAATATAGTTTTTGAATATACAGTATATAGTTAATATTATATAGTAATAGCTTAATAAAATTATTTTTTTGTAATAAAATAGTTAATAAATAATTAAATCATATGAGTAACAAAATAGTCTTGGTATTAAAAATTTAAGAATTATATACAAATCTAAAAATAACTTGTTAACAAGTATTTTGTAATATATATAGTTTAGCTTTAATATAAAGTCTTAAAGTTTAATTAATCTATCATTATATTTATAAATTAAAACAAATGTAAATTAAATAAAGTATACTAAGCAAGGTCTTGCTAGTTGAAAAAAAAAATTACTCTTTTATAACAATAAAATAAATTTTATCTTATTATTAAAAAAAAAATTAATTAATTTACTTTTTATAAAAAATCTTTAATATAATAAAAGTTTAATAAAGTCTTATATTTAATACTTGTTTTAAAAAAAACAAAATAAAAATTAATAAATTCCAATTAAATTAGTTTTAAAAAACTAAACTAACAGATTACAAATCAGACTAGTTTTTTAAAAAAATTCAATGGATTACAAAACAAATCTGACAATTTTAAATTAAATTAGATTTAAATTTAGATCCATTTCAAAAATCAAAAATCTGTAATTATAAGATTGATAAATATATTTATTATTTTATATAGAAGCTATAATATAGCATGTATAAAAAAATAAATACTAGAAGAACTCAACGTGATTCATGGATTGCTTGACTGAAATTTGTTTCCTTGGTTCTCTATTCTTTTTCGCGTTATCAATCCTCGAAAATGTGAAATGAACCTCTTACGAGATTTTAACTATGCACCGTTAAAAACTGTTAAAAATTTTCTTTGTGCTGTATGCGATGCACACTTGGCTCCTTAAACAATGTATGCATATGAAATTTTGATTTGTTTAGAAATCAAGATGTGATCAGAGTTATCATTTACGTATGATCGACATGTATAAAAAGTGAGCTTCAAATTAAATTGTGTCATCATCCATTGGTAGGAATATTCAAACTTGCATCAAGAATATCAAACAATGTAAGTTGATCTTTGGCTGCAAGATTCACGGACAAGGATCTCACAAAACCTCTTCAATTTAAAAAAGGGTTAAAACAGTTTCGCGCGCAGGAAGCTATTCTCGCTCGAGGAGTCGGACACGTTCGCGATCTAGGAGTCGCAGCTCTTATTCTTATTCCACCAGGAGCCGTTCTCGTTCTTACAGCAGGAGCCGGTCGCGTTCCAGATCTTACTCGCGTAGCCGTTCTCGTTCTCCTAATTATTCTCGTAGGAGGCGTTCTCTCTCACCGCTTCCTACGAAAATCATGGTCAACAAGCTCACCAAGAACGTTACTGATGCACACTTGCAGGAAATATTTGGAGCCTTTGGGCGGATTAAGCACATTGAATTGGCTCTTGATGAAAAATGTTTGCTAAAATTATTTTCTTTGTTTATTAATTTTTTTTTTTAGGCACTTATCACAATTTTTTTAAATTAGGGCAAACCAATAGGGGCATAGCGTATATAGAATTTGATACTAGACTTGAAGCAGAGAAAGCTATCAGCTACATGGATGGGGTAATGGATCATCATAATCCTTGTAAAGGAAATATTATAATAACTAATTTTCAATAAAATAAATTTTAGGGTCAGATTGATGGGAACGTGCTTTCATGCAGCTTTGTCCCTCGCCGTCCGCCCTCGTTACCACCACCCAGACGTAGAGGTATAATCTGAAAATAGAATTTGATGGTTTTCTTGGGTGATCCATAATGTGGTATGTCAAACGCTTCACTTATTTTTCGCAGGCGGAAGATATAATTCTCCCCCTCCGCCACCACCTCGTCGTTTCGGGGCGAGTAGCTACCGTGCTCGTGGCAGATCTCCGATGCGGCGACATTCACGATCCAGATCTCCCACCCGTCGTAGAAGATCATATTCATACAGCGACTCATACAGTTCAAGGAGTCGATCTCGATCTCCATACTCGAGAAGCCGTAGCAGAAGTTACACTCGTTCCAGAAGCCGTACCAGGAGCAGAAGTCGCAGTCGCCACTAACGTCGCGGATCACTTATGCGCCCTTTCCTTCTTCTTTTCATGCATTATATATTCACGTTGAAATCTTCTTTTTACTTGTAACCTCTCTTTTCCCTATTTACTGACCAGTTGCTTGTTTCCAGGAAAGCTTTGAATGTACCGTATACTATGGAACAGGAAATCGATATCATATCTTAGTAAATTGTCATTTTTTCTTGTAGACATGTTTTAATCATTTTACCCTATAAAAATCTGGTTTTGAATTATTGAACGTATTTTTTTGATTTCTGCAGAGATTTCTGTAGTTTACCGTTTATTTTACCACCATAAAAAGAAATTTATGGATTTTTAGAGAATTAAAGTAGGTATCCCACATTCTTTAGCAAATCATCGTTACTGACATTTAACTAAAATGAAATCTTTCCTGTAACCTAGATAGGATTCGATATTCAAACCTCTATAGAGAAGTTTTAATTTGAGATATATTTATTGCATTTTGTGTATGCTGGCAGAGGTAATAAAAATTTGAATTTGAAATTTGATAATGATTTGAAGACTAGTCGTTATCTTGAGAAATATCAAAAAATAAGAAAAAAAAAATATATAATAATAATCCGAATTTAAGGTTCATAATATATTATACCCTTTCCGAATTTATTATATGATCCTAGGAATAAAAAATTTTTCCACCCAAAATTCGAATCTTAATAAAATCTGTATACTGTTTTGAAACAAGTTAATAAATTGCATCTAAAGATAATCTTCCACATAGAGAATATGAGGCTTACATATAATATGCATTGAGTAGATTTATAGAACCAATCGTCTCATTTTGAGAGAAAAAAAAACGACGGTTCAAATCAATGAATCAATCAGAAGTATTACTGCACATGTGTCGTTATAAAATCATTGGAAACTGCACAATGAGTAAACCATCTGGGGGAAATCACTTCTTTATTCTTGCAGTTTCTTTGTTAAACCCTCACTGATATGGTTCCAAAGCTTGTTTACTTATCTTCGGCCAGACAAGAACCTCTTCGGACCCCTATATGAAAGATTGTGATATTAAAGAAAAAAATGGACAAATAGAAACGTTTTCTTGGTTTCAATGTCGTCGATTACGTTTCCTGCTGTTTGCACATATCAGCGTCATTTGGGGGAACGAATATACATAAAACCGTTGCCACGAAAAATGATTTGGATCAAATAAAACAAAAAAAGAATCTCTCTCCCCAATTTCTTTGAGTCGAAGAGATGCTATCGTGCTTAAACGAATGAAAGATGATAGAATTTTAAAATGACATCTTACCTTTTTCCAGTTCTCCCTCCGCCCTTGGTATTCTCATCATGAAAATCCATACCACTGTACTGATCAATCGTATTTCCGCTCATGATCTCCATGTGATCTGCATTTTTCGCATTAGATTTGACCTCCTTTCGTAAGAGTTCGACTTCTTTTTCGTATTCCTCTTTCTGCTTTTTGTTTTGAATGGCAGCATCGCGAACTTCTATAATTTTAGCGTCTATAGCCACCAAGATTTCTTCTGATGTTCGAGACCTATCGGAATCAAATTCGTAAAAAATGACGTTGATAATAAAGAACACGTCAGTTTTCGACTATTACGCGCCAATTACTTACCAAGCACTTAACACTTGCAACATATGATCAATTTGCCCTGGTCGCAGATCTCTACCCATTGTATACTCGATCTCAAGTTGTTTTCTCTTTTGATCTAATTTACCTTTAATGACATCCTGATAAATAGCTTCTATAATTAAATCCTCGAGTTCACGAACGTTAGGTATGTCGAGATACTCCAAAAGTATGTCGTATGGGATAGTCTGGATTGACATGTCGGATCAAAAATAAGTTTTGATTTTGATTTAACCAGTAGCACAATCGTTAACAGGTGAAATTACAAACTCTTGATTCCTCAGATAAAGATACAATTGATAGATATTTTAATTTGTTGAGTTGATTCTGGTCCAACGGAGGCAGCGTTGATGCATTTTCTACCAAGTTCACAAGAAAGTGAGTTAGAAGATAACATGCTACACATTAACATACCACTCATAATTCACCTTTATAATCCTTGTACGTTCCGTAAGAAAATAGTCGTAATAATCTATGATATGATTGATATTGTTCGCTATTTTCTAGCTGCAAAATATATACAAAACAAGGTTTGCTTGGTTAAAAAGTGAAGAGAAAGATCGAGTAAAAGGAATCTCTATCAATCAATATCTTGGCGCCTGTGTAATAAGACAGCGCGTTTGAGAGGCTTTTTATTTCCGTAGAAGTTTAAACTGTGAATTTACAAAGATCCCAAACGCAATTCTTTACATTCTTACCTCAGCGACATTGGGCATAGCCAGAAGTTCAGCAAACACATAAACTCCGGAAGCAGACAGGGCATCTTTAATCAACTGAACGCAAGCTCCACCCTTAGCTGACTTGGAAAGAAGAAGGAAAGGTTCTAAGCGTTGGCGAGCAGTTGAGCCCAAAATAGTTTCGGTCATTTTTAAGGAACGTACTGTATGTTTAACTAAATTCCATCGTCAACATCGAAATGTTCTTATGGAATACGATTATCCTGTCACGTGGTCAACTATGTTAAATAAACATTGGAGATCATGATAACAAAATCTTCCTCTTTGATTGCAATCTTGAAGGTGTGTTTAACTTTTTGAGAAAACGTTGTCGATCTCTGCTTAGTAAAGGAAATGCGACTCCTAAAACGTTTCGTGTATTCATATTAACAGAGGTCGGCATTGATTGTTCAGAGCTTTTTATTTATTTATTTTTTTTAAAAAAAAAGAAAAAAAAAAATTTTTTTTGATCACACAAATTCTCGGAAAACTTTAGAACTCATTCTTATATTTTCACAAATTTCCATTACTAAATTAAATATAGTCTTGCTTTAAGCGCAATGGGTAAGCTTGAGATGCGATTCACTTGGTTTTATGATTTTCAGATTACTGAACGATAATTTTTTCTAGCAAAAAGCAAAAATCATACTAATCACAACCAAAGTATGTATATATCAGTAAATAATGCTAGAGACTTTTTTTGTGATTTTTAGATTGAATTCGTGTTTGCTAAAATTGTGATATTTTTGCGCAGACCGTAAGGCTCACCGAAACGGTATTAAGAAGCCAAAGACTTATCGATATCCTTCTTTAAAAGGAGTATGTTGTTATATTTCCAATTAGATCCTCTTTATTTGTCAGAATTTTTATGATAACTGATGCACTCTGTTAAATATTAAATTAAGGTTGACCCCAAATTTCTTCGTAATCAGCGATATGCTAAAAAGGTAAATAAACTTTTTCTACTTTATCCTCGTATGATTTTATATTAACTCTGACTATTCATTTGCAAAAGGGTACCATAAAAGCTTTAAAAGAAGCAGTAAAGGCGGCTTAAACAGTTTTCTCGCAAATTTTTATTGTTTTAAAACATGTACTCTTCAGAAAGATTTGAATTCTTTCTGATCTTTCAATAAAAAATTATCACCCGTCATGACTTCAACTGATTGAAATCACTAAATCTTGGGATCATATAGAATTTCGTAATACTGTTGAAAAATACATTTGGAGAATACGGGGATTATCTATTAAGTCATATTATTGTATTTTTAATGCCATGGACAAAAATGTATTGAATTTAAGGATTACAATAGAAATATATATATATAATATAAAATTATTATAAAGATAAAAAAATTTTCCCATTAATAATTTCAACTTTCAATATAATTACTAATGCGTTTGTATACGGTATATATATAATAATTTTATTAACTTGTTTTCTTTATTTATTTATTATATTTCTTAATCTATTATCAAATTCAAATATGTTTTATAGAAATCATCATCATTATTATTAAGAAATCAAGAATTAATTAATAAAAAATAGAAACTATTCAATGGGCACACTTCTTTTTTTTAAATCCAAACTATTAATAGCAATTCAGTTTATGGAATTTCAACAGATTGTCAAATTAAATATAAATATTATTGTAAAAAAAAAAAAAAAAAACTTGTTCGTTATTCACGTACTTTTTTTCACAGTAATATGCATATGAATTATCTTTGATAATGGTTGATTTGATCTAATAGGTGTGATTTTGCCACGTGTCTTCTGTTTAAAAATATATAAAGGCCCGTCATCCATTATTGCTACTTCACATAATAATGATACAATTAACATTCGTTGGAACGCATGGAATGCAAAATTATTTTCTTCTAGTAACTTTTTTTTTCCTGTTAATATCGAAAAACTTTGCACGAGCGTACTCTATATCTTGGGTTTACGAGGATCTTGTGGCGCATCCACAGTACAAAGTTGTTTATGAAAATCAATTTATTCCCAACAGTAGCCTAGAGAATATTGTTTTTGATGAAGTCCAGACGGTGGGTTCTCTATCTTTCATGGTCTGTCGAATGTTTTTGGAAAAGATAAACAAATGTGCCTTCACATTCTTTAGGAAAATAGTATCGTTCCTTCCGCGTCTCAGGATACATCAAATAATGCAGATACCAAGAAAACTTCAATCATGATGCGTACGGCCTCCGGGCAATCTTACATATGTCAGATACCATATGTTTCTAATCTAACGGTGGTGGAAGAAAAAAAGCCCGAAGAAAAAAATGATAATGTTGAATTGATGAATAAGGGTTTGGCGCTTTTAGAACCCATGAAAGACGATTGCTTATATTATGTGAGTGTGCAATAAACGAATCTTGCTCAACAGTTTCTATTTAATCTGTTAATTCGTCATATTTTTCGATGCATTGATCTCTTAGATTCATGGATGGTGGACTTATGAATATTGTCATCTCAGGTGAGCGGTTATTCTGACGGAATGTAAATCAAGAATGAATTCATAATCTGTTTAGCTAATTTTTGATTTGTAGGCATGTTCAGCAATTTCATGGGATGCCACCTGCAGAAAATTCAAATGTGGTGTACCTTTTGGGTAGATATGATCCTCGAATGGCAACGTTGCCGGGGAAAACTGCGCGTAATAAGCATTCACTAGGCACCGATTTGCAAGCGGGTAGGGGAAAAAAATATTTAGTTCAACGTTGGGGTGATGGTACAACCTGCGATTTGACCGGAGAGCCTAGAAAGGTTGAGATTCAGGTAACTTTATTATTTGGTTTGCGTTCATACTTTCGTTTGTAATTTCTTATTGACGCTCAGACATATAGCCTATGAATTTTTTATTTGACAGTTTCATTGCAATCCTCAATCCAGAGATGGCATTGCTTTAGTAAAAGAAATGTACACCTGTTATTACCTGATTGTCATACACACACCAAGGTTATGTAACGATCCAGCGTTTCACAGCAAAACTTCTTTCAATGTTAATCCCATAGAATGCTGGCCGATTGTATCCGATGCAAGTAAATTATATTGTCAATTAATGATGCTATGAAATGATATCTTATCGAGACTTTCCCATAAACAGGAACAATATGAACGTAGCTTGGAAAGTCAACCCAAGAGCTTAGAAAGTGATTCGCAAGAAGAGAACTCTAGGTACAGTGTCTCATCAGATTTGGACATATAAGGCGGAGCTTTGTATGTAGCTACATAACGCGTGGGCGATTGTCAACGAGGCTATGGTGGAACACCCTGAATTTACTTTTTTTTGCAAATTTGAATAATTAAACTTTTTATAAAATTTCTGAAAAAATAGTGTTAATAGCGATGAGGCCAGAGATGAAGAAAGTAAAGAAGAGACGGAAGATTTAACGGATAAAGATGGTCACCTAGATCAATTGCTTCGTGATCAGACGAAATCAGAAAAATTAATATCTATCGTGAATATGTACGTGGCAGAAATGAAAGACCTAGATGAATCGATGGATGAGGAGAAGCAATCTGGTGATCATAAACGTAAGGTTAAATTTTATATCATGAATGATGGACAAATAAAACCGTTAGAAAATACCGATTCGACGGCCAAAAATGAAGAATCATCAGACACTAAAACCCACAACGACGACGATAATAAAGAAATTTAACTATCAACAATCGCTAAGTCCAATCAATTACGTGAAGAGGAATTTTAACACTTCAATAAAAAAAAAATACATGAGTATTATTCCGGATATTTTTGAGGGTTCATTGCAATGGGTTTTCTGAATGGGCAGGTATTTCTTTCATCCCGTTAACATCATTTAATTTACATTAAGAGATTGGAAATATCTTCCAAAACAATTTCCGATAAATAATTTTATTATAATACACTAAACCACCTTGATTTTTGCTTAATTTATTTATCATATTATTCGAATCAATAATAATTAAAAAATATACATGGTTCATGTTTAAAGGATTATACGTGCAACATCACTCTCGGATTTTTAAGTAGTAAAGATAATTTAGGCCGAGACCTCTGTACCAATAATACTATCCAATTCACCACTAGAACTCAATTCTTTGATAATATCCAATCCACCGATCAATTCTCCATTATTAAATACCATTGGATAAGTAGGCCAATTAACTAAAGTTTTCAATCCTGCAAGATATACAAGATATAGTAAGTTAGTTTAATATGGGTTCATACAAATAACCAAGTACTTAATAAACATCACCTTGTCTAACTTCCTCGTCTTTTAAAATGTCAAAGTATTCGTATTTGGCCTTCTTCTCATTAAGAATACCGATTAGCTGTCTGTAAACAATAATAAAAATTTAAAAATTAATATGGGAAGTATTTCACGAAGCGTTCTAACCGACAGTATATTTACTTAGTGAATCCACAACGCGGAGCATCCGGTGAACCTTTTATGAATATAACCAATTTGGATTTTGTGGTTAATTCTTGGAGTCGCTCGTTAAGGTCCCTTTCTTTTGGAATCATGTCCTTAAAACTTCCCGAAGAAACCAACTCTTTGACAATGTCTAATCCACCAATAAGTTCACCACTGATATATAACTGTATAAAATCAAGCTTATGTGAGAAAATAGTAAAAAAATGAGAAACGAAAAAAAGAGAATAGTAAGAAATAATACCTGAGGATAGGTAGGCCACTTAGAATATTCCTTTAAACCTGCATTAAAAGAGAAAGCATTAAAATTATGGTCTGGTGTAAATTTTGAACAAGTGAAATCACTTACGAATGACTACCTTGTCTAACCTCCTCGTCGGTTAAAATGTTAAATGAACTAAACTTCACTTGGTTCTCATTGAGAATTTCTACAAGTTGTCGGGTGAATCCACATCGAGGTTGACTTGGAGTACCCTTCGTGTAGGTTAGATAATGGATTACATAGTGACTGTACAGTAAATGAAAATGGCAAACCTTAATAAACACCATAACCGAATCAGAATTGATCAATTCTTTAAGACGTGTGTTTAGATCAGCCTTAGGTGCTTCACGAGGTTGTGCCGGCGTTGGTTTTAATGAAGTAGTCTTGGCATGCTTTTCCACTATGCTTGTGAGTTCAGATGCATTAGCTCCATCTACGCGATCCGCAACCTTGCTATTCTATCAACGAAAAATGAATTAAAGTTAAACACATGGAATAACGTTCATGTGATGAAAACAGGGTAACAATTACTTTGAGAACAATGAAAGTTGGTACTGCTGCAATATCAAAGGATTCGGAGATCTCCGGGAACTTTTCTGCTTCAATCTTTTACCGCGAGATAAGAAAAATGAACACCGTTTACTTTAATCAGCAGGTAACACATTGCAAACCACAAACCTTGATAAACTTGAGTGCAGTATGCTTTTTTGCCAATTCTCCGAACACGTCGTTCATTTGTGCACATGGTTGAGCCCAGGCAGCCCAAAAGTCGAGGATCACTGCCGTGTTTTTATGCTCTTCAGCCAATTTCTTCAGGTCGACTTCAGCAGTAAGTTCTATGAGATTGCCAGCCATTTTACAGTAGTTCAATTATCTAATTAGATAAAATTACAGACTTTTAAAAATTGATACTCGTACGTCACCCTGCATTATTATTTACAGAAAATCTTTTTCGATCGAATTTTGATCTCCACAACCCACTTCTTTCAGTTATGTCAGAGGGAAAACTAGAAAAGCCCGAGCAAGATTTCACGCCGATCGTCGACGTGCAATTACCAGAAACTGAAGAGTTGGCTAAGGTTTGTTGTTTTCTCAAAAAATCGTTGAATTTTCCCCAGAACTAATATCAATTTTTTGTAATGTGCAGCAAGGTCACTTAAATCAGGCTTTAGAACAATTACTAGCGCTTGAAAAACAAACTCGTCAGGTAAGCTAGCGCTGCCGAAAATCCAGGAAAGGAATGAGTTTAAATTCCGGTATTGGCTAACTTTTCAAATATTTAGGCAGCGGATCTTTCTTCTTCCACTCGAGTATTAATTCACATAGTGAAATTATGCTACCATTCGGGAGATTGGAAGTTATTGAACGAATACGTAATCTTACTTTCGAAAAAACATGGACAATTGAGACAGGTCTGGAGATTGTTTCTTAATCAGTTATCAATAAAACTTGCACACTTACAATGATAGCTGTTATATAGGCAATTACAAAGATGGTGCAGGAGGTCATGACATACCTTGACAGTACTCCAGACTTAAAAACAAAACTTGAATTGATCGATTCTTTACGCACCGTAACTGAGGGAAAGGCAAGTAATTATTGGATTATATCTTAATTTTTTATTGTTTAGTAGAATGGTTGAATTATTCATTATTATTATCATCTTCGATTGATAGATCTACGTTGAAGTCGAGCGCGCTCGACTAACGAGACTCTTATCCAAAATCAGAGAAGATGAAGGAAAAGTCAATGAGGCGGCTGATATCTTACAAGAATTGCAGGTATTCTATTCGAAGAGGTTTCTATTATTCTTGAATGATTGTCACCACAACAGATGGATATTCGAACAACCATCATAAGAAAAAAATCCACTATATGATTCATTAGGTCGAAACATTTGGTTCAATGGAAAAAAAAGAGAAAACCGATTTTATCCTTGAGCAAATGCGATTGACTCTTGCAAAGAAAGACTACACTCGAATGCAAATTATCAGTCGGAAGATAAACACAAAATTTTTTGCCGACAACGAAAATCAAGTAAATAAATTTTTTTTCTGTTTAAATCCTTTTAGCGTCGTTTATTAATTAATCACCACCGTCATAATTAGGATTTGAAACTTCGATATTATGATTTAATGATTCAACATGCTATACATGAAGAGCAGTATCTAAATGTTTGCAAATACTATCGGCATGTGTATGATACACCGTTGATTAAGGAGGATGAATCCAAATGGAGAGAAGTAAGCACTGGATGTAAATGTCTTTCAATCAGGATTTTAACTAAATGTGGCCGTCTATTTACACATGCAGGTCTTACAAAATGTTGTCTATTTCATCGTTCTCTCGCCTTATGATAATGAACAACATGATCTACTGAATCGTATATTTGAAGATTCGAACCTCATCAAGCTCACCCTGCATTAGTAAATTCACTCATTTGTTCGAATCAATAGGCTGAATTTAATTATATATATATATATATATTAATTAAGAATTTAATGAACATCAATCCAGTGAACTTGCCAAACATTTTATAACTCCAGAGTTAATGCCATGGCCTCGTATTCAGGGCCTATATGGAACGGCGCTAAGGCAAACTTCGGTCTTTTTATTGGATGAGGAATTTGGGGAGAAACGCTGGAAAGATTTACACAAACGAGTGATCGAGCATGTATGTTTTAATTTTATTCTTGATAGTCTTATTTGATGGATGGAACTACAGATTTGATAATTATTATCTAATAATCAATTCAGAACATTCGTGTGGTTGCCAAATATTATACACGTATTAAAACCAAGAGATTGACACAATTATTGGATCTCAATGATCAGGTAAAATAAGCATATTTGAAAATTATAGTCGCGTCAATATAATAATGTTTGTTTTTGGATGCTTAGGATACTGAGGAATTTCTTTCGAAACTTGTGGTCTCTAAAACCATCTACGCCAAAATTGATCGACCAGCTGGAATTGTCAACTTTTCATCTCCCAAGGACGCAAATCAAGTTCTAAACGATTGGTCAAATAATATTAATTCCTTATTAGGACTTATTGAAAAGACATGTCATTTAATTACTAAAGAAGAAATGTTACATAGTATCGCCAGGGTGAAGTGATAAAATAAATGATCTTCAAAGTTATTTTTTTAAAGAAAATTCGTGAATTGTAAGTGCAGCTTAATAGCAAGCACATAATTAAAATTAAAGTAGGTAAATCATATTGATCATGATATAAATACCGTATCTAGATTGCGAACTAAAAAAAGTCGAGTTTTTTCTGTTGTATTATATAATTATATATGATTTTTTAATCAAAGTGATTATTAACGGAAAAAAAATAAAGTTTGCAAATGTTTAATAGAAAGCTGAGGTGTAATCTGCTATGCTGGCAGCGACATAGGAAAGTTGCTCAGGCAGATAAAATACTGTAGTGTAGGTAAGGAATCCAAGTATTATGGTGACAATTGAGTCTGATAAGGATAGTATTAATTGGTAAGGATAGTTAGTATTAAGTTAACGCAAATACGAATTTTGTTCGTTCAGATTCACACTTACTGAAAAGTGCTTTTTCCCAGGGTTCAAGCATATATAGTGCGGTCGTAATTTCATACTGATAATTTTTGAGCGCAAGATGTCGTCGTATTTTAGTCAACATTTCTTCGAAACTGGTAGATCAATTTTTTAATTTTTTAATTTTTTATCGCATATCATTTATTGTGATCTGGTTAATTATATGTATAATTATGTCATTAAATTATAAGTATAAATATGTCATTAAATTAATATTATAAAAAAATTGTGTATAAAATAGGATCAGTCTTTTATGAATCAAAAATATGGAGAGATTACGCGAAATCCTGAATTGTCTTCCTTACATGTCAAGAGACATTGTGGATGATACTATTCATGAAAAGGTCCTTTCATACTTGTCAGAATATGCTTACAAAGGTCCGGGAATGGTGAAGGTTTTTTTAAACTGGAATGTACTGGATATTATACACGTGTGTAAACAGGCCGTTGTATGCTTGTTTCATTTCTCAAGTTCAAATGCAATCTTACTGGGAAAAAATCATGACTCCGATTTAGAAATGTATCACGCAAAGTTATAATGACGGAGTCGAAAAAGCATCCGACTATAGAATTATCGCGTTGTCAATACGTTTCCTGGCGATTCTTTTAGCAAACGACGATAAGGAACGTGCTTCATTATTTAATAGGATCAATGAACACCATCATGATATATTAGATTTCATTTTGAACAATGCGTTTGCTGATGAAGGTTTAATGCGCTATTCTTGCATTGAGACATTGGAACAGATAGTTGCGTATGAATCAGGAGCAAAGTGGTAAAGTATCGGGGTTCCTCTATTTAGTGCACGCGTTTCACCTGATGTCATAATTATGTTAAATCCGTTTCCAAAGGTTCCTTAGTACAAAGAAAAGTCCACAGGTTGTTGCAGCATGCTTTCTCGATCCTAGTACTTACGTAGGTGGAATAATCGAAAAGAAGATTCTAATCTTTTACGCGCCTACAGAACTTTTTCTTCATAGACACATTCTAATTGATCTTTCAAAAAAAGGTGACCGATGCTGCCTCAAAGCTTCTTTTATCTATAATCAACAATTCCACATTATTTCAAGGGACTTGTGCAAGTTCAGTAACCCAAAATGAATTATTGGATTATTTGATTTCTTCTCTCGATCTCTTCGAAAAAATAAAAGGGTTGCTATTTAATCCGCATGAGGACATTAGCGAACGCTTAGCTGCTTTACAACTTATCTGGACCTTGCTAAATTCTAGGACAGCGAATGCATACTGGTTTATAAGATCTGGCCAACTGGTTCGTTGTTCAATTGTCTCGAATGTATATCGCGCGTTTTTCTTATCTCACGGTTTCTGCTTAACCGTCTTAGCTTATTCGCCTAGATCTTTTACTAATCGATCGTGACAAAGTTGTGAGATCTCGAACAATTGATATTTTATGTGCTGTGTTTGAGTGGGTACCGGAGCCTATCTCTATGTTTAAAAATTCCGTGAACTCGAACGACCCAATTCTTGAAAGTATGAATTTGTATATACAAAGTTAGCCTTTGATGTTTTCATCAATATATTTATTTATCGATCTTGTCACTTGAAGCATTTGAGTTCATCATACAGGATATCGTTTTTTCTCTATTAAACACTGACACAAATTTTGAGATGGTGACGATGGCTGTCAATGTTATTGAGTCCTCATTATTGTTGGTTGATCGAGCAGCAAACGGCAAAGATTCGCTTGCATCAAGATTAATGGATATATTAATATTTTTGCTTGGGTTTTCCAAGATCCAACAATCAAAGGAGAACGCGATCAATAACGTAGAAAATCAAAATGAACTTAATCCTGACGTACAATTAATCATTTCGAACGGAACGTATGAGAAGGTATGAAAAACTGTTAGATCTCGATGACGTGAATTTCTCTCTTCTCATCATCTTAATCAAAAGTTAAGGACGCTGTTCTCAAATGTCCGAAGAAATGTTTCTGGTGGGAAATCATTAATTCTTAGCATACTACATGCGATAAACGCTTTCTCAAAAAAATACGAGTCTCTGATAGCGGTAAGTTTAGTTGCAAAAAATCTTAACGCTAATCATCGCTAATCGATTAAATTTTTAGGCAACATCTATTGATACGATACTGGATATCTTATTTATACCAAATTATAATTCCGATCAACGTATATTGAAAGCAGGACTTGACATTCTACAAATTGCTATCATTGGGAAAATTCAGAATAATCGAATCACAGATGTGAACATAATAAATAAGGTACCTTTGTTTTGTGTCGTAATTCATTAAGTTTGAACTAATCATGGTGTTCTTTGTGACTATAGACATTACAAACAATTCGGAATTTATTAATAGATTCAAGAACTGAATGTCATGGTGTGATTCTACTCCTTGAGACGATGCAAACTTTACTTGTTGAAGAAATCATGGGTCAATACATTCTTGACTGTAAATACGCAGAAAGCTGGGCTGATGCAATAATTTCTAAATTTGGCGATTTTCGTTGGGAAATACGTGACTCCATTCTTGAATTTGTTGGGAGATTATTTGAAATGGTTATTAAAGTTTTCGCTTAGTTTATATTAGCAAATGGATTTATTATAATGTCTAAAGTTAATCTGTTGTTTGTCTTTTAGTCAGATGGCCGTGATCCGAGTGTTGAATTCGCGCTCAAATTTAACTTACCTCGAATGACAATTTCGAAAATTACTGATGAAGTGGCATACATTCGTGCCTCCTGCCTAAAAACGATTCAGGTATATTTCAACGATGTTTCATTAATAATGGTTGAGCAATAAATCAATAACACCTTTATAAAAATGCAAATTAAAGGCAATGATACATTGTCCAAATGGTTGGAAATACGTTATGTCTCAAGGTTTACTCGATCAAATAGCTCATAAACTTCCCTCCATGATGAAAGACACTGAGGCCTTTGTTCGACAAGCTGTAATGGATTTAATCGTTTATCTTATCGCCGAACGCGGATGCGGCACTACTTTGTTAGCCGACTGTAACAAGGAAATTATAAAGTACGCTCAGAGATAACCGAATATTTTTATTAAACTGACACTAATTAATTCATTTCACTCAACTTTAGTCCTTTATTATTGGAAAAGATAATGGATGATCCTGATTTCTATGTTAGAATTGGTGGTTGTAAGTTCTTTGAAACCTTGTGGTATCACTGCGAACAAGATCGAACTGAATTCGCCCAAGAAATTTCTGAGGAAAATTTATTGATGTACAAGGATTCATCATGGTTTTATTCGCTCGGTGGTGACAAGTTACTCATAGCTGCAGTAAGTTTTCTTTTTCATCTGCCGAATATTGGATGATTTCTAGTTTATTCGCTAAATTGAATGGTCTCTTGATTAGGCGGATGACTCTAGTAGATTGGTTCGTGGTGAAATTATAAGAATTCTTAAACGTCTGAAATCTTTTCTTGAACAGATGATCCACAAAAGGCAATCATTGTCGAGATTTATCGACAACATTCACGATGATGATGAATCTCAACTTTCTTTCAGTTCACTAGGACAAAAACATATAGAATTTTATCAAAAGATTTGTTTGATCGACTTCAATCGACTTGAAGCTACATTAGACGTTGAACATTTATACAAAGAAGCTCTAGAAAGTGTTAGCCCGAGCATGATGATGAATTCAGACATGGTGAAAGAAGGAAATGAAAAAAATGCGTTGGATTGTTATTTCTAGTAATACTTTGAATGCGAAAAAAGATGTTCCTTGTTCTTTATTCTCTAGATCACGTAAAACTATGCATACACATAATACACGTAATATAAAGTAAATACAATATACACTTATTTATTGCGTCATTATTATTTTTTTTAATTTTTCGATGATTCAGTAACATTTGCACCTTTCGGAGTCTTTTTTGTTTTCTTTTTAGTCTCTTCAGTTTTAGAGCCACCACCATATTTGTTGAGGTATTCTTGTTCTTTCTGAGTGTCAATCCTGGTAAACAGATACTCAGCCTTGCCCAGATGGTGACCAGCTTCGATATCCATGGCCCATGTGTCTGGTATATTTCTTAGTGGTACATTAAGCTGACGGACGATGGATTCACTTGTCGAAGGCATGTACGGACTAATCAAGGCCGAAACAAGATAGATAAGGTTTATTGAGACACCTATTACCGAGGCACACTTTTCGGGATTATTTGCAAATAGTGTATTATCGAGTTTGCTATCTTGAAGGTATCCATTGCCCAGTCGCGAAACATCCATAGCTAATTCGAGCCCGGCACGTA